AGATTTTTTCAAATGAAAATTAGTTTACTACTGGACAAGTCCAATTGCAGAATTTAATTTGGCTTGATGGATTTTTAATTTAATGTGGTCATTCATAAGCATAAAAAGCATTCATGAAACCTTTGTATGCAAGGCTGCATATTTTCTTTAACAATAAAGCAGTAATTTATTGATGAAGAGCAAAACTATACAAAACAGAACAAGCTATCACAATACACAGCAAAATGTAGAAAGATCTTAAACTGCCAGCACAACAAAGTTTTCACCGAGTTTTCCAACACCACTTTACAGAAAATTATATTGAGAGATTACCCTTCTATTTCAAATATTTGATCGGTTTATCCAGTCCTTCCCAGTTCTTTATTGTAAACTGTGAAGTTTTCCTGCATGCATGCTTACGAAGCTGAAAGCCTGGACTTTCTCAGTCTTTAAACAATCTGCAAATTTCTAGCCAAACACTCTGGTTTAGGAGTTTCACAAACATAATTTACCTTCGCAGAAATTTTTCCCTGAACTATTCTATGCTCCTTTCTAGGAGAGAAAACATATTGTTGTTCTGCCCCCAAGTCAGGTCTTCAAGCTGCTCAAAAACCTCACTCTCTGGGTTCCCTAAGCTAAAATCAATTCCACTTAATTATTCTAAACTAAAAACCAAGCTAATGGCCCTTGATGTTTACACTGTTTGTTAGTACTGTGCTCGGTTTATAAGTCTTCCATGAAGAACAAAATGACACTGTTATTTGTTTAAAAAGTCTTCAAAAAAAAGTAACTAACATCCAACTGTCACCATTTTGAAATCCAGACTCTCAAAATTACTTTAAATGTATATGTTTGTACAGAGCACAGAAAATTTACAGCACAGAAGGAGGCTGTTTGACTGGTTGGTCAACATATTTTACTCCTTAACCTTTATTTGAAAATTGCTATCTAAAACGCTCATTTTCCTCGATCAAAAGTACAGAGCTTTGCTAAAGTGATGTGCAAACAAAGCAGGATATGAGAAAAAGAACTTGTTCACAGCACGTAGTTAATGTATCAAATGCACTGCCTGGAAATGTGGTAGAGGCTGGTTTGAGGCATTCAAGAGGGTATTGGATGATTATTTGGATAGAAATTATGTTCAGGGATATCGGGAAAACACAGAAGATTGGCAGTAGTCAATAGAATCAATGAACACGCAGTGTTACCGAATGGCCACTACCTGCACCATAATGATTCTGTGATTGATCATTCTTGCAGTGGATTAACTATGTGCTACACTGCAATCGGTTGACATTTCTGACTTCGTCTTCTATTATAATACCCATCAAAGTAGCAGTTCTGGAAGTTAGAAGTATGATCCAGAGCATTTGTCTCAGCTTTACACTAAATTCAAAAAACATTATCCTGAAGAAGAGCAGATGGATTCCATTTAGGAATGAAATCCAGTTTCTGAGGAGTTGGTGGCAAAGCCCTAGATTGCTTGGAGACCAAGAGATAATTTGATTTGTGCCGGTGTCTCTTTTGAGAGTCAGGTTTACAATTAGGCCATTTGATTAGTCCTGGTTCTCAATTCAAAAACTTTATTCCAAGAAGCTTTTGAAATATTTTTCTATGTTTTTTTAAGTATGAAATTACTCTTCACTTGCTCTGATTAGTAATAAGACTGGAACCAGCTAGAATGCGGGCAGTCCTGCCAGCCATGTCTAGGTCCTGTGAGTGAATACAAAAAATGTGAAACTTTCCAAAGTGATAGTGAGCAGTCTTAACCTACTCACTGAAATAAGGGAGAGCTATCAAAAATTCCTTTACACTCCTCATTACTTATTTGCATAGTACTGTACTACTTGTATTGAGTTTCTTGTTGCCAGCACTGTTAGCCAAGGAAATTAAATAAAAGTTAAATTTTGATCCATGCATAAATTTTGACCATTATACAAAATGGCTGCAAATGTACTATCACTCCGTTTATGCTATTGGTAATGACCAATTTTGTCCACTTCTAATCAAAAAGCTGTGTATATGAAGTATGGATTTCCAATTTTGCAACCTGTGTTCTTGGCTGGTGTACAGAATTCAAGAATGTTTGTTATTAGCATATCAACCCAGATTCTATGGAGGTAGTGATAAAATTGTCAGCATTGACCTTATTCCTATGAAGCTATCAACTTCTACAAATGTTCTGAATAATGATAATCCTGAAGATGACTTTAATGTCTCTGTTTCTCCAGGTGCTATTGAGGAACAGCCACCACCACCATAATCCCCCAATCCCAGTCTTGCATCAACACAGAAAATCTTATGAAGTGGTGGAAACTTTCACTATCTGATTTTTTTAAATCCTTGGAAAGCTTCTGAATACATGAAACTTGGGCTTTTTTTAGTGGTGTACAAATTTCATAATTGCTGCTAAATCCCTCACTGACCCTGTGAAGCTAATTTATTTTACCAAGTGCTGGATTACTCCCAATTTTAGGAAAAGTTTTCAAACTAAAAAGATTTGAGATAGAAATTAATGATTTTAACTGTATAAACACTTAAAGTAAATAATATTAAATGTCTTTTACTTCATGTTTGCTGTCTGTCAGTACTTTAATATGATAAGTAACATAATTGCTTGCTGACATGACTGCACTTGCTTCCTTTTGACTTGTACCCAAATACTGGGGGGAAGTTATTCAATGGCACCAGTCCTTGGGGCTTGATGGACAGGGTTCCTTTTTCCCAAGTCTTTGATCGTCCTCTAAGGAGGAAATTCAGTTCCTCTTTTAAATCCTTTGTTGTAGAACAATCCTTTTCACAGTTCAACCCACAGACGAGAATAAAACAAAAAGATGTAACCTGAACTGTTTTTTTCCTTTTATTACATTGTGGGAAAGGATTTGTAAGTAGTGAGCCCTTTTCCCGCTTTGAAGAATTTGCATTTCAGTGTCGTCTTGTTCTGGAAATTAGGAATTGTATTTATATTTGAAGGGGCTTTCCCTTTTCATCACTTCCATCCATTAAATGAGCAATAAAGCTTAGACAAAGAAACGCCGTCAAGCACAGTTGGACGTAATCTGCACCATAGGGGGAGGTGATGGCCTAGTAGTCCTATCGCTGGACTGTTGATCCAGAGACCCAGATAATGTTCTAGGGATCCAAGTTCGAATCCCGCCATGACAGATGGTGGAATTTGAGTTCAGTAAATATCTGGAATTAAGAGTCTAATGATGGCCATGAATCCATTGCCGATTGTCAGGAAAAACCCATCTGGTTCACTAATGTTCTTCAGGGAAGGAAACTGCCATCCTTACCTGGCCTGGTGACTCCAGACCCACAGCAATGTAGTTGACTCTTAACTGCCCTCTGGGCAATTGGGGATGGGCAATAAATGTTGCCTAGCCAGCGATACCTTCATCCTGTGAATGAATAAAGGATTTCAATGACTGTATTACCTGAATATGTGTGTATTGCATTCTGAGACATTGTATTCCATAATCTTGCATTGCTTACAAAGGTATTTTTGGCAGTTGTTAGGAAGAAACCACTTTACCTGTATGTGTAGTTACCACACAAGCAAGTGGGTTTTTTTTCTAGCAAATTCCATTTGAATCATCAAATGGGTGAAAAGTTGGTTTTATTTGAAAATATGAAATACTTTATTCACTACTTAAGCTGGATACCATATCCACGTTTCCACAGTATGACTTCTGTGACCTTCTCACTCGTTAGTTACTGTAAAAGTTACTGTAAAAACCTGTTTGACAAACCTTTAAGGTAGAATTATTGGTAAGTGCAATTTTCATTTGCACTAGTTTGAACAACTAATTTGGGACCTGTGGCTGCTACGTACAAAGGACAACGGTTTTATTTAGGTGTACAGAAAGTAACGGTTCCAGGAATTGAACATAAATTGTCTATGCAAGTACTGGTTTCTAACTAAATAGATTTCCATTTGCAAGGCAGGAAAGTTAAAGACAAATAATCTGAAAAAGGTTTGACTTTTGTTTTCGGCATCATCTAGTGCATGTCCATTAAGTAAATTTTTCTCCCACAATTTGCCTTAAGACTGGTCTTGCAAATAATCTGTAAGAATGCATCTATGTTACTTGCATCTTTATTTAGATTTACAGGTAAATCATTCAATCAAAAATCAGTTTGTGGTAATTAAGTGTGCTGCAGCTAGATAATAGTCAAATGATATTTTAGAAGTGTAAAACTGGTAGTTATTCTGACTATGATAATATATCTAATACTAATGTCTTTAAATTGTTGATGCATCTTTGAAGAATTACTGAAAGGCTTGTGTCAGTTAAGGAGAGTCAGCCCAAATTTGTGAAAAGCAGATTGTGCTGTACTAATCTAATGAAACCTTTTGATTAAGTAACAGAAAAGGTTGATGAAGAGAACACGTAAATGGTGTCCCTTTGGCTTTTATAATTAGTGTTTGTCAGAGAACCACACAAAAGGGTTAGTGAACAAAGTTGATACTCTCAGTCTTGTGTGAGTGTGCTGAGTGTCTGCTTGAACTTTTTAAATAAAGTGAGATGTTTTCCAGACTGAGTTAGTAACCATTGTCTTAAATAACTGTTGAATCTTTGCTGACTGGTTTTTCGAGTTCCAAGTCATTGTATTAACTCTTAAATTTATTTTAATCAAATTCAGTGCCTTAAATTTTCAGGATAATTCATGAAATACTTTTTAAGTTTGGAAGATGTGGAATTATAGAAAATAGTATGACACAGTTCTCCCAGAGTTGACTGGCTGACTGTTTTAAGAAGATACGTTCAAAAATGTGATGCACCTTACCACCTACGTACTTTATCTATAGGATTATAAAATTGTTGAACTCGGCTCCTCCATTTTCTTTTGGAGAGAGCAATTTAAACATGAATGAGCTGTTTGTTACTATAACAGTAGACTACCATCTTGAAATTGGCCATAAGTGCTGGATTGAGTTTTTTTTTTAAGCAAAATATTCTAATTATTGCTAGCATTGCTTTCTGGGCTATAATGGTTGCATTTTTTTTAAAAAATAGGATCACATTTTAGCAGAGATACTTCAAAACCAGAAAGATTTCATTGTGGGCTACCACGAGCATGACTCTCTCCTGGACCACAAGGAGGAGGAAGAGCTAAGTGAGGAGGACAGAAAAGCAGCATGGGCTGAGTATGAAGCGGAAAAGAAAGTAAGGAACGTGAACCGAATGGTAACATGTAACATATAAATTCCAGAAGAGAATAGTATATATCTAGCCTAAAGTAACAGTTCTGTGCAAATTTAAAAGCAGAAATAAATCGTCCTTGCATTGATAGAAAAATTGGATTAATATGTATAGAAACGTTTAGTTTCTTGTCACAATTAATCTAAACAGTATTTAATCATGAAGCCAAAATGTAATTGTTATTGCAGATGTAAAGTTTTTAAGCTTGAACATTTTAATTTTCTTGTCTCTATTTTGAAGTGATTTGAACTTGGCTTTTGTTTGGTTAGTTTACTTTATTGAAAAATATTGGCTACTTTATTGAAAAATATGGAGGAAACCGTTTTGTTACCAAATATAAACTTGACTTGCTTTAAACTTTTCATGCTAGTGGTGGATTTCAGAATGAAAACCATGGCTTTTTTTTTAAACTCCTTCCAGGGTCTCTCCTTGCGGACTAACGTCGCAAGTGGGATTAATTTCCCTGCTGTCAATTTCGGCTTGCAGGCTGCACATTTTCCTTTCAACATAGCAACTTTGTCCACAATGAGTAATCAACAGCTGGAGGTGGGTAATTTGATCTACATCTTAACTAGTGATCTCAATACCTTAATGGTAATTAGGTTGGCTATTTGAGGTTAAAGCACTCTAAGATTAATATGTTCTAATATGATATAATATTGTAGTGTTATACCTCTGTCAATTCTAAGTGGAAGAGCACTTGTTTCCAGTTGTCATGTTGCATAAACTTAACTCCATTTATACAACTAACCCAGAGATGATGCTGTTTCTTAAATTTCTTTTGTTTTTTGCTTTGGTAACTTTAGTATTCAGTATAGAAAGATGTAGCATTGCAGTTATGTTTGATTCTACTCATAGATGTTGTGATTTGGTGTGAGATTCCCGGGTGACTTGATTTTCCTTCCATCCCTGCTCCAAAAACTCAACAACGTTGAGATCAATCATAATGCTGTCATTTTGCCTTCTGTGAGGTTTGCTCCCTTACAGTCGTAATTACACAGTCAGTATAATTTCATGACTGACGGCAGTGACAGTTTAATTTTGAAGGTGCGTTAGGTGATTGGCACTCCCACAGTTCTGTTAGGAGGGAGTTCAAGGATCCACAAACAATAGATTTTGATCAGTGAAGAATAATTTTTTTTAAAATGCCCAGCGCATCGACTTTAGGAGTTGGGAGGTCATGTTGCACGTGTATAGGACATTGGTTAGGCCATTTTTGAATGCTGCATACAATTCTGTCCTCCCTGCCCTAGGAAGGATGTTGTGAAACTTCAAAGGGTTCAGAAAAAATTTACAAGGTTGTTGCCAGGGTTGGAGGGTTTGAGCTATAGGGAGAGGCTGAATAGGCTGGAGCTATTTTCCCGTGAGCATCGGAGGCTGAGGAGTGAAGTAGAGGTTTATAAAATCATGAGGGGCGTGGATAGGGTAAATAGGCAAGGTCTTTTCCCCAGGGTGGGGGAGTCCAAAACTACAGAATATATAGGTTTAAGGTGAGAGGGCAAAGCTTTAAAAGGGACCTAAGGTTCAACTTTTTTCACGCAGAGGATGGTACATGTATGGAATGAGCTGCCTGAGGAAGTGGTGGAGGCTGGTACAATGACAACATTTAAAAGGCATCTGGATGGGTATATGAATAAGAAGGTTTTAGAAGGATATGGGCCAAATGCTGGCAAATGGAACTAGATTTATTTAGAATATCTAGTAGGCATGGATGCGTTAAATCGAAGGGTCTGTTTCCATGCTGTCCAGCTCAATGATTCTAATCTGTCAGTTTGGTTCATGCTTAGAGCATGACATGATTGCAAGGATTACACTTTTTTTTTTCTTCACATACAATGGTTAAGTTTAATTTATTGCAAGTAAAATATAAGTATATTGTATATATTTGTGATTTTGACTGTATTCCTTTTCACTTGAGATTTTTCCTTTTTTTTAAAAAAGGATCTTATCAATCAAGGCAGGGAAAAGGTCGTTGAAGCCAGTACCAGTATAGCAGGAGTGAGAGCAGAGGCGCTTGAAGACCTAATTGCACAAGTGGTAAGACATTTGAGTATTCATCCCTTGAAGGAAAAAGAGTAATTTATTCTAAGTAGCAGTAGACTGTTCAAATAAATTTGCGTTTTGTTGCTGCTATCAAGTTGATCTTTTAGTAGCCTTACATATTTTCTCACCATCAAAGCTGTTCTTTTATATGCATTATTTTGTGGTCTATAACGTAGCATTGATCTAACACTCAAAAATTGCTGCATGTTGGAGCTTTTTGTAAGTGCTTTGGAACATGAAACAGAAAAGGTTATAAAAATGTTTAATTAAAAACCAAATAATTCCCCATTTTAATACTGTTAATCTTGGCTGTTGTGCTGCCTGTTTTAGAGCAGGCTGATTGTTCAGGCATGGTTTTGGTCAAAATAAAAGATATTTGGCTGACTTCCTGTCAAGGTTAAAAAAATGATTACTATTACTCACTGAATACTGAAGGACTGTAATACAGACACCCTCAATCTTGAATGGAAAATATCTTCTTAGTTTTTTTGATGTAAATTGAGGAAAGTGCAGAGTAACTATTTAAGAACCCTTTCAGTTGGAATAAAAGTTAGCTCCTCCTCTTTCATGGAATGTTCTTCACACCTGAAAGACAAACTAAGCTTTTCCTTTGAAAGAATTCTTTAGAAAAATCTGTCCTGGTTTAATTTTTTACCTACTCTAGAAAGCATGTGTCATGCGCATCACTTAGACTGCCTCTCATCATGCCACGCTTTCAGTCTAGGTTTCTAAGTCTTCAGTGGAATTTGAAGGGACTGCATCGGTTTGGCCGAGAATGCTAACCCAGTATTTTCCATGAAAAGGAGGTGAAGTTAGCTTGTCTTTATTCTTTTCGTTGTTGGACAAAACAAAATTGAGCTGGTTTATTATTTAATTAGCTGTGATCTAGACCCAATTCTGTTTGTGTTAGTTTGGAAGTTAGTGGTTGATCAGAATAGTTTTTAATCTCAACACCTTGAGGAAAGCATAAAATACAAAGGATTGTCTTTACGTATAATTATGACAAATTAACCCTGTTTAAGCCTCAGTAGACACAAGAACAGAATTAGAAAATTCAGCCTGTCAAGTCTGAAGATTTCCATTATATTTTGAGAGCCAGTATTTTCCTAATTCTTTCTTCTAAATAGCTTTACTACGATTTAAAGATCGTGCTGTCTTGTTCATGTGTCCTATCGGGGAAATGGTTTATCTGTCTCTATCCTTTGTATTTAAAACCCTTTAACATTTTAAATTTTTCTATTAGCAATCAATCTTCTAAATTCAGGGGCTTATGATCAGTCGTTATGCAACCTTCCCTCATAAGCTAACCCCTTTAAGCTTGGTGTCATCCTGGTAAACTATATCACTTTCAAAGTAGGTTTATCTTTCCTGCAACACAGTACTTTGAATAGAGTTTGATCACTCTATATAACTAGAGCATTACTTCCTCGTTAATTTCAGTCTTCCTGAGATAAAGTCAAATATTCTATTACTCATTATGATTACTTTTTACCCCTTTGCTTGCTCTTATTGATTTATCTACATTGGTACCCAACTCCATTGGGACCTCCGCAGCTCTTGGTCTCTTTCCAATTAAGAAAATATCTGATCTAACCTGGATCTTTTTACATTGCTCCACATAAAATTCCATATACCATAGTATTATCACTCTCCATAAGAGCATCAGCAAGAGGAGTAGGCAATTCTGCTCATTGACCCTGAACTACCATTCGTATTATGGCTAATCTGATTGTTACCTTAACTCCATTATGTCTGGTTTAAATTCTTGTTCCTATTACGCCATTTATTTTGCCTCCTAATGGAGTTATCTGCGAACTGTAGAATTGATTGAATGGTCATGCTCACTCCACTTGATAAGAAATTGCAAGGAAGTGATTGAACTGATCAATTTTGGGCTACTTTTTTTTTCTTAAAGCCTGTTATATTGGGAAAACAATAAGGGCTAAAACTAATTTTCTGCATTCGCTAGTTTAATTGAGTAAAAAGTGAACTAGTTTCAGATAAATTTGTTCTCTCTTGCCGTGCTTTACAAACGTGCAACAGGCAAGTTACTTCGTTTTCGGCCAGAATTTCTGACCACTTGCAAGGAAACCAACCAAGCTGAGATCAGCTTTTAATTGCAAGTGTGTTTTATTGTGTTTGTTGTTTTTAACTGTCCCTTTCCAGTTTGGTAATCATTTTAACAGTTGTTTCTTTTCTTTAGTGGAAAGAGAATCCCAACCTGACTGAGGAGCAAGTTCAGGCAGTGTCACTGAGCAAACAAGCCAGCCAAGAACTCGAAATAAAACGCAGAGAAGCCATGTACAATGATGTCCTTTCAAAGCAGCAGATGGTAAGGTCTATACTCCTTTTGTGGCATAGTGGTAATGTCCCTACCCCTGACCTGGGAGGCCTGGGTTCAATTCCCGCCTGCACCAGGGGTATATAATAGCATCACTGAACAGGTTGTAGTCATTTCAGATGACAAGGTGTAAAACTGGATGAACACAGCAGGCCAAGCAGCATCAGAGGAGCAGGAAAGCTGACGTTTCGGGTCTGGACCCTTCTTCAGAAATCTTATAGTCATTTCAGCCTTCTTTCTTCCATAAACACTGGTGTCAAAAGTCTATATAACAAAACATTTTGCTATCTTTATTCAATTAATTAACTGAGTAACGAAGAGTTTGTTTTGTGGGGCACATCTGCCTTTGCCAATTTCTTCATTAAAATTGAACATTCTTCATTGTACTTTCCATAAAAGTTGATGTTCAACCAAGGTTGGTTTGAACATTTTTTTTTAAATTTCTGTTAACAGTTTCCAGAACGCAATCACTTTAGATTGGAAACAGTTGGATAAACATAAGTTTATTTTATCCTGTGGAATATATTTGTATTCTTTATCACTGACTTTACGTTTTTATATTGAATATTGATTGAATGGATGCATACAATTTTCATGTTTCTATTCTAATTGCTAATTGTTTGCGGAAAATGTATTATCCGAATTGATGTCCATTTCTGGGTAACTTGTGTTACACTTGGGTTACTATCATTTAAAGCTGCATGTAGCCGAAATACAGCAGAGATTTGAGATATAATTGCAATTTTCAGGAGCTCCACAGGGCCACTTCACTAATTACATTTTTAGTAGAGCACATCCAGACAAATTACTGTTGGTGTCATTAAAATGTACAACTTGTATCAAGGGATTAATTTCCTGTCCAGACCTGTGTTAAGACTGGTTACAAATTCTAAAGTTACTGTGTAAGATTATAAATTTTCTGGAAATTGTCAGGTTTTTAATTTTTATAATGAAGAATTATAAAATAGTCCAATCTCCTAAGAAATCTTTTTAATAACTATAGTTCACTCAACTAAAAACTGTACAATTTAATTCATGAACACAGTTTGTTTACTTGTGCATTACACAAATTGATGCTTCCTCCTCAAGTTTTTCCTGGTAATATCCACCTTTCCATTTCAGAAAATGTCATCCAGAAATTAATATCTATACCACATGCAAAATCAGCCTTCTCCTGTCGCAGGAATAGGAATGACTATTTGAGTAGTTTCTTCTTCTAGAACAATTTGTCTCCAAATGAGTATTGAGCATCTGGATAAACTGGGCTGCTTTGAGGGTTCCACTTAGAAGGTCTAAGCAATTTTATTTTCAAAGGTCTAATTGAAATGAGGTACATCCTTGTGGGTGAAAAACATTTCATATAATGGTTCCCCAAAACATTCCTTAGGTGGTGATTTGGGAGTTCAGTACCATTAAAGTGGCTCTTTGCAGATAAAGAGGTAAACAAGCTACTTTGATTTCTGCAACTGTGTTTTACTGTAGTAACTGATATAGTTGTGGCCAACTGGACATGTTATAACTGCTGTTAATATTTAGGGATTATAGCCATCTCTAATTAATTTCAATTTAATCGGACAGCACCTACTTTTGTACTGCAATGTGTGAACAAGTCAAAGTGAACAGGCCAGTCTAGTCAGATTTTGGTGTTATATTGCACTAGCTTAACTTCTGATGACATCCTTTTAGCTATTCTAGGTCACAGGGTTAGGAAGTAAACTTTTACTGACATTTATTAAGTTCTGTGGCTAGCAGTAACTAAGCCTATTCCCCTGAGAATATCTGGCCTGTCCTCCACACTTTCCTCTTACAATGGTAAGATCAGAACATTTTAGTGTAGGGATCCTGAGAAATGCTGTTATGGAAAGAATTTGGGGTATCATGTTGCAGCTTGAACCCTGCATACAAATTTTGTTCTCACTTCTGCCCTTCTTTCACAGCTGATAAGGTCTGTACAACAAATATTAATGAGCCGAAGGCAGCAACAGATCAGCCATATGGCAGTACAACAGCAATATCCAATGAACCCACTTTTAAACCAGTATATGTCTTCAAGAAATCCTGGTTCGATGCTGACTTATCCACACATCGGTTTAAGAGGATTGCCTATGTATCCACAAACTCCACCTGGTATGCGACCTCCTCCTTTGCAACGGGCACCACCTGCACCTATGCAGATGAAGGGACAGTCTCCTGGCCCCCCACAACTGAAACAAGGAATAAAAAATTCAAAGAAGTAGCCACTGCTCAAGAGATTATAAAAATGTAGTGTTGTGCCTTTGCTATGGTAGCAAGCACATTGCTGAACTGAAGAAAAGCTTCAAGTGACCAATTTATAACTGTAGATTGCCGTTGGGACACTATTTAAGTGCGTAGAATTGTGCTGAGATCATCAGAGGTAATATTGTCATAGGAGATTCCACAGAATCTTTAAACATTGTATATAGCCTTAATAAATATGTGACTGCTAGGGAGAGAACAAGTTTTCTTCCAAGTTTTTTTGTTCTGCCAATTATTTTGTTTAATTCTGATGTATGTGAAAATTTTAAAAAGTTTTTTTGAGGAGATGAGAAGTTGAGAATCCAGGACTCGTCGACCAATGAAATATAATTTAACAAATGTAATCTTTGCCACATTACTTCATGAGCTTCAGAAATAAGACCAGTTGATAAAGGAACAAATGATGTTGCCCCTTCAGTGTGTTTTTATTTTGCTAATAATACCTATGTCTCAATCTAACATATGAGTACTTCTCCACAATCTTTGGTAGCTTAATTCCTCCATCTGTTGAACCAAAAGAGAATGATTTTCAGAACTGCTGACGTTTAAAGGGTAGACTTCGATGATATCATTCAATGCTGACAGGAGGACTTATTTGATGTCATCCATTAACAAGGGTCAGTTTTGTATATGTGCTGATTTATACCTTCAGTCTTAATAAAAGCAATTAGGTTCATCTTTGGCGACGCCTCTGTGCAATGCATTGATGTACAGACAGAGTTTCTTCCTCTCAACCTCTGCAGTACAGTTCAAAAAGTTTTTCATAATTTAAGCCCACTTTGTTGCCAGTCAGCCCAATTCAGTGAACTGAATTTTTCTTTTCAATGTGCTCAACATTAGTTGGATGCGAAGAAGCTCTTTGTCCATTTCATCCATTTTAGATATACATCCAGTGATGATCTGTTATGAGAGTGCTATTTACCTTCCCTAGATGTTGACTTGATTTAATCCATGTCCTGTGAATTTCTTTACTTTCCTGGAATTGGACGTTCCAATCCCACAAGTACAAAACTAGGAATTTCTATTTTTCATCTAGTCCTTGTGTATTTGTGCTCAAAAACTACTGTTCCAAGGATTTGTTCCAAATGGATAGAACCTGTTACTTGGTACAATGTAAAAATGTCACACCAGATCCATCATGATCCTTGAATTAGTCATGCCCTTGTCACAAAACTGTTCTTGTAGCTTCTGTAGTCAGGATAAACTCAGTGTAAGCAAAGATTGCTAACCCTATCATCTTTGGTCTAAAGTTACTATGGCTGTCAATCCAAGAGCAGCAGCATTTTATTCCACCAGAGGTGAATGATCACATAATTATGTATTTTCTCCCCTAGAATTACATAGTGATTTCAGTTGCACCAGTGATTTGTTATGTCATCTCAGGTGTTGAGCCATGTAACCAAATGATCCTTTGGGATTAATATCACATTTATTGGTAACTGATGTTGCTCCTGGACAGGTTGGGGAAACCAGCATGCAACTCTTGCAGCTTTCTTCGAAATTCAACTTCTTAGCTTCTTTAATATAAATTCAAATAATCTGTTCTAGAAACTGATGGTTCGTCAGCTTTACATGATATGAGCTAATGCCTAGGCTGTTCTTGAATTATTTTCTTTTGAAGAACTTGTACAATTTAATTGTACGGAAAAATTTACCATTTGGTCATCACCAAACAAGTCAGATAAGTTACAATACAAGAATGCATAGAACCAGCTTTTATCTATAAGCCTAGACAACGTCCATCTGCTTAGGCATTTAAAACAAGTAGGTATTTAATGTGTTCTACATTATTGTCCATGTGGATTGAAAATTGATTAGGTGAAGTTGACCAAATCTACTTCTATAACCAGGGCCATCCTTGAGGTCACTTTTTGGAATATCTGCAGAGTTGCACTGTCTGGCAACTAGTTTAATGAAAAATTAGCTTTCAATCAAGAAAGTCCTGAAATTCATAAAGTATCCTGAAAGGTACTATTAAGACTGCAAGAGCATCCATCTTGGGTACCACTGGATCAAGTTCTTTGTATGTTATGGTTTTCATTGTATGGAAGGTCATTGCATTATATATCTGACAATCTGCTCTTTTTGAATGGCAGCATTTCCATATAACAGAATCTTGCATAATTAATTCTATCCGTGGGAATTGCTGCTTGTAGAATTTAGTATTTTGTTTTTCTAGTTTTGGCCCCCAAAAAATTACCAGCTTGCAGTAAAATCCTAATTGTGTTACTTAATTAACTTTGTTAAAAGTACTGTATGATTGTATTCCTCCTTGGAACCTTAGCTTACTCCTGTGGTTTGTGGTGGATACTTCTCATCAAAGACTGAAGAACCCTTGGAGGACAAATTATATAATTTTTGGAAGCCTGTCAGATTGTTTCTGTTCATATTATGTATTAATATGACTTTATTTAATTCATAGATTTACAGTGTTAACCATATTTTGTGCTAATCCACATTTTTATTTTTCACCAATACTGTCAGCCTGATGTAAACCAAAAATAAAGCTATTCTGCACTCTAGGCCTCAACATTTATTTTAAAATCTTTATAGTTCGTCTCTTGGTATTGGAATGATTTATGAAATATAAATGTTTTCTAGTCTCCCTGACTTGTAGGACTATATTCAAATGCTCTTATTTGGAACTTGCAGCAAAGTGTAACTGTAATGTTCTGTCAAATATTTCTGTTGATTTAAGTTTTTTTTATTTTGTTTTAGTTGCGTAGAGAATTTTTTTTTTAAATTAGCCTGTTGGCCTAATTGAAAGGTGAGACTTCTACTCAACTGCTCATTTTTTAAAAACAAAATCTTTTGCTCAACATTTATTTGCTTTCTGTGATAAAATTCTTTTCAATTGACAAACTTTCCATTTTTCCTCATTGTGAAATCTTGCAAGTCATTTTGCCCCACTGCCTTTCTAAGAATTCGCCAGAACAATGATTTGCTTTGTTGTCATTTTGAGACTTAATGTTATTATAATGTTAAGAATGATCTAATACAAACAAATTTCTGTCCAGATGTTTAAAAGATGCATGTGTACGTACGTTCTGTTGTGCCAGACTCTACACTTGTTCATTCAGTGGGATGACATCTTTGGTTGATTTATGTCACAACACCTTATCTTCAAATTGGAATCAAAAGTATACAATGGCTTGAACTTTTTATAAGTATGCTTTAAAACATTTCCCATTTTCATCCTGCAATTGGATTTCACAAAATTAAAAGATAATGTAATATTGGTATACTGCACTTGTACAGGCTTTTTGATTTAAAATTTTAATCTATTGCAGTGTGATTTCCATGTGTTTTAGAAGCCAGGAGAAATAGTTTGAATGTATTTGGGGTAAAGGCATGATGATGGTGCCATGTGGCAGCAGAGGGCAGCAGATGGAATTTCCAACTGCAAGGCTTTGGCAATTTATGGCCTTTATTTCCCTTTGCTGTCCTTAACATGCTTCATTTTATCTTTTGGAATTATTATTTTATGACAAATACAGTACTGTTCAAGATCTCTTGCAAAATTACCAGCAGATGTTTTCACAGGATAAATCAAAAGTGTTTGCTGGTTTGTCATTTAAATACAAATAAAAAGATGAAGCCATGGGTAGCACAATAGTGGTATAAGGCCAATGCACAGAATCAAATTTTTGAGACGAGATATACAACAAAAATTAGACTTCTCATATGTTTCACTTTAAATTTGATTTTTTTTTTGTTTATATTCTATCAGCGCTGTATTTCGTGCTGAATTTGACCAGGAAATAGTTTTGAAACTATTATGGTTGTGGTTGGGAAAAAAAATTAAATCACTCGAATTGTTCATTTTTATAAAGTTAGATGTGATTTACATAGTTGCTGTTGCTTAACCGATAAATATGTTGCAGCTCGTATTAAGACTGAATGGTAAATACCATATTTTCTAACTCGTACTGTCCTTAATTTTGGATGTAAAGCATTCTTTGCTTAGTAATATGTTTTTTGTATCAAACGTACCCTAGTTGACTAGCAAAAGGAGAGCCCGAAAACCATTATTTGCTGTTGAATTCTAACAGCTTTGAAGATGTAACAGTCTTGCTTGCTTTCTATATATTTTAGAAGTTGTTTCAACTGTATTTATTCACTACCGTAAATACCGTAGAACTGATACAATTTCATCCCATAGGGATCATCGTGTGTAAAATAAACTGGCAGTGTGTTTTAATAGAAATTGTAGTGGATGAATAAGTACGCACACTGTTGTGTTGTTACCTTTGCAAGTGGTATCAAAACATTTAAATTTTAATATTTAATATTCAATAAAAATGACAAAATTGAAATTATGCCTAGATTATTTATTAATACAAGTACTTCCGGGCAATCATAGTAATTTATTTAGTCCCACGGACAGTACAGTTCATTTCTCATCTTCCGTATATAAATAGCCTTTTCATTCCTGCTGTTGCAGTACAATCTTCCTCAGCCGTTGCTAATATTTAAAGCATCTTTGAGCGTTGCACTTGCTTTTGCCATCACTGGAGTTAGTGTTATTTTTGACTCACACTAGTGGCTAAACAAAATCTCAAGTTTGTTTTTCCAGTCTGTTCCATGTTGTAGTTCTGCCTTTACATGTTGATGATGGACAATGTATGTCCTGAAACACCCGCGTTGTGGTATTTCGGTGAAAACATTCACTGAGCTGTTGTTTGGTCTCTGGTCAGCTCTGTGCCGGTGGTCAGGTTCAAACATCGCACATATTGCTTACATAGTTGTGTGATCCTATTTCAACTAGGTCCTATAGAGGTCAACTTTTTCCAGACTAAAAGAGAACTTGCTAGTAGCATTTGACGTTCTGAAGGTGTTCTCAGAGTACCCACAGTACAGAGAGGAAGATAGTTCTAGGATTTTGACCCCATGTCAGTAAGTAAATGGTACTGTAGATCCAATTCCAGACGCTGGCGTTCCCATGCAATTGCTCCCTTTGTCCTAAGTGCTAGAGGTCATAGATTAAGAAGATACTGTTGAAAGAGCCTTGTTGAGTTACTGCAGTACATACTGCAGATAGTACACAGTTGCTTCTGCTTTGTCAGTGGTAGAGAGAATGAACGTTGAAGGTGGTGGATATGGTGCCAATCAAATGGTAGCTTTGTCCTGGAGAGTGTCAAGCTCCTTAACTATTGTTGGGAACTGTATCCTTCCAGACAAGTGAAAAGCATTCCACTACATTCCTGTCTTGTACCTGATGGACAGGATTTGGGGAATCAGAGGTGAGTTACTTGCTGCATAATTCAAACCTCTGATCCGCCTTAGAAGTCTCTGTATTTCGATGACTAGTCCATAGCCTTTGCAGTATCCAGCACCCTCAGCCATTTACATGTGAAATAAATTGATTTGGCTGATGACTGGCATCTGTAGTAATGGAGGATTCAGAAGGAGGGCAAGCAGGATCATGCATTTGATATTCCTTCCTGAAGGTGAATGCGGGTACTGAAGTGTTGTCTTTTGAGTTGATGTGCTCCCCCACCACGCTCGCAAACCCCAATCATCGGGGATGGGGATAAATGGAGGTAGTCCTAAAAGTTACAGATTTTGCTTTTAATTAAATGTCTTGACTGTGTCACAAATTTCAAATTTTCTGATTCATCGCACCATCAGTTACCAATAAAATCTTATCTATAATCAAACAAATTATTCCAACGCTGACCTTTTGACTGAGTTGAAAGATCATTTTGAGTGTCTGACATTATACAGTTTACTACAGACACTCCCAACATGCCCTGAATCTGAAATTATTTTTATTGACACTTTGCTTGATGCACTAGTAGTATTTTTTTCTACCTGTCTTGTAAACTCAGTACCTAATTTATCTGCGATATATGGATATTCTAAATTCTTAGATTTTGCTGACAATCTATTATGAATAAATCTCTCAATGTATTTGTGGTGTTCATAAGTAGAAATAATATATTACTGTTGAGACTGTGCAATCCAGGGCTTGGAGAAAACCAGGGAAATGAAGGTGACAAATTCATTTGTAGATGGTGTAGATATTTGTCAAGTAGCACACCTCTTATACAAAGCCACTTGCTTATGTGTCAACAGAAAGTAGACTTGATAAAAGTTTGATTATCTTTTGTTGATGCCTTTTATAATTTGAAATATCTAGTCTGCAACTCTGATCACATTTGATAGGCATATTTAGTTAAGAACTTTAGAGCCACCCACTGACTCAGTTGAAGCTATCAGCAATTACCTTTAAATTGAAGTTGTAACATTGCATTTAGGTCTTTGAAGAGGCTTTTTATTGTGTTATGTACTGATATGGTCAGATGCTGTTTACAAAGGGTTAATTCAGAACTATGAAGACAATATCCAAGTTATTGTTATGCTGATTAGATGACATCTGATGAAATAGACAATGAATTGTCTAGTTTTACATGCGATGTTGGATTTTACACTGAGAAATCGTTCAATATGTCCAATAGCTGTTTGTATCCAAATTTTAAAGTGGGTTTGTATTTGATATAGGGAGGTAGGTGGGTGGGTATGTGCTTAGATGAATGGACAGTTTAATCTCTATGAAGAATTGTAACTGCTCCGCAGACCAATACTTGCTGCAGAACTGAGTGGAATTGGAGAACTTGCTCCTTTTTCCTCATTGAAGATATGAGGCTGCTTGGAGATAGCGATATTGCTTTTGTACCCAGTTGAAACAATTGTGGATGCCTTGGAGCATTACTTCACGATGTGCTATTTAAATGTTCCATGTCTAGTAGTTTAATGTAGCTATATGGCTGGCACCTTGTGTGTTCCAGGTAGAAGGTAAATCATCACCTTTAGGTTGGTATCCAGAGAACGACAGCGCTTTTGCAATGGCAACTGATGTTTTCCTGTGTAGCTAGGGAGTCTGTCTTCAAGAAGCATAGACTTGAGATGCATAAATACAAATCATGTAACTAATGCATAAATGAACTTGCGCTTTAAGCAGTTCATTTGCCCCATTTCATAAATGTGTGATCAATCGAGACTGAACAGATAAGAGTTATGTGGAATAGGGCTCCCGAGAGGAAGTGTTTTGGTACATCATGGCAAAGTCTGGCCTCCAAACGCTAATACCATGGGTACAAGGCTGGATGTACTAGATTGGTAGCAGGGCTGAAAGACTTCAGTTACTTAGACTGATTGAAGCTACAGTTGTTCCCATTTCAGCACAAGGTTCAGAGAAAATTTGAGAGGTTCAAAATCGTGTACATCTTGGATAGTGAGGAACTGTTTCTAGTAGTAGAAGAAACAGCAACTAAAGGGCACAGATTTAAGGCATTTAATGAAAAAAAATTAGGGATAAAGTGAGATAGTGAGTGCTAATAATCCAGAGTGCATCACTTGAAGGTGATAGCCTAGTGGTATTATCGCTGGACTGTTAATCCAGAGATCCAGATAATGTTCTGGGGACCTGGGTTCGAATCCCGCCATGGCAGATGGTGGAATTTGAATTCAATAAATATCTAGAATTAAGACTCTACTGATGAACATGAATCCATTGTCGATTGTTGGGAAAAACCCATCTGGTTCACTAACGTCCTTCAGGGAAGGAAACTGCTATCCTTACCTGGTCTGGCCTACATGTGGCTCCAGACCCACAGCAATGTGTTTGACTCTTAACTGCCCTCTAGGCAAATAGGGATGGGCAATAAATGCTGCCTAGCCAGTGACGCCCTCATCGCATGAATGAATTTTAAAAAATTGTAATTGTAAGCTTCAAAAGGAAACTGGATTAATGCTTTATATTGCATGGGTGTAGGGAAGGAGTTAGTGAATGCAACAACTTGAATAGGCCTTTCAGAGGGACCTGAAAAATGGGCCACCTTGTGAGCTATATTTATCAATGTGTGAAGGTTATGACTATGAATCATGTAGGTAAATACTAATGGATTAGGACTTGAAGACCTGGTTCAGCATTATAATTTGTGATTCTACTTAATCTTCTGTATTCTCAAGTAATTTGACAAATCTTTAATTGCAATCCTTGCTATTTTTACATTTGCCATCTTCTTAAAAGTCACTATAATTTACCACCTTTCCTAAGGGATGAGACGAGGCAAATATGTGATGGTTAACCAGATTTGAAATTTTACAGGAAACCGATTTTGCATTCCTTCTATTGTGCCTGCCTTGGAACCTGAATTTCTTTTCACAGGCTTATGTTTGACATTCTGAACCTGCGGTTTTGTGGGATCTTAAGTTCCTAACTTCAAAATCGTACTCTGTGTGCGGTTCAAGAGTAAGAAATGTCAATGAAATTGATTCAGTGTCAACATCTGGAGGCAGAAAAGACTTGTGTTCATGTTTCAGGTAGCACCCTTCTTCACAGTCAACCTAAATATTTCCAGAATTTTCTGTTTCCGTTTCAAATTTTCCAGCATTTATAGTTTATTTTTATTCATTCCTTTGTAGTTGACACGCCTTATTTTATTTGGCTCCAATGTGGTGGCAAAACCTAAAATATATCCATAAGGAGGTTGCAATGCCTGAAGTGTTATGCACCACTTGTTTTACATCTCTTGCTCTCTCTACCTTACTTAATCTAACCATCGATCTCTCTCTAATATTCTTTCTTAATAAAGCTATTCCAATTAAAGCAAGGCTGACTGAAAGAAAAACATAGCATATGGAAAGTATAATGGAGATCTGAAAAGGTCATAATAAAATTTCCTCTAATTCTATGCTATCCACATTTTTCACCTTCTATTTACCATATCAACTATTTACTTTCTGAACCCTATCTAACCCTCTTCATGTAACTAATATTGCCATTTATGCTCCGGTATGTACCTTAAATTTTGTAATGTGATTCCTATGCAGCATCCTAAAAATGCTCAATTGTAAATAGAGATGGCCTGGTGGTATTATCACTAGACTATTAATCCAGGTACCCAGGTAGTATTCTGGGTACCTGGTTCTGAATCCTGCCTGGAATTGATGACCATGAAACCATTGTTGTTTGTCAGAGAAACCCACCTGGTTGGCTAATGCCTTTTCAGGGCAGGAAACTACCATCCTAACTTGGTCTGGTCTACGTGTGATGTCGGACTTGCATGACGGGGTTGACTTTGAACTGTCTGCTAGGCAATTAGGGAAGAGCAATAATTGCTGGCCGAGCCAGCAATGCTGGCTTTCCAAATATTGACTGGAAACGCTATAGTTCGAGTACTTCAGATGGGTCAGTTTTTGTCCAATGTGTCCAGGAGGGTTTCCTGACACAGTATGTAGATAGGCCAACAAGAGGCGAGGCCACATTGGATTTGGTACTGGGTAATGAACCAGGCCAGGTGTTAGATTT